AAAGCTGGGAGTAATCGTCCACAACCTCATCCACCACACAGCTACAAGGAAACCAAAGCAGCGCTAAAGCAGTATTTCAAGCGGGAGTGGAGAATGCAGAATAGAGATTATTGACCAGAGAGTGACAGCATAAACAAACTCAGCAGGAAAGAACAAACATCAATTTTTAGACTTTGGACTGGACACTGAGATCTTCGAGCACACTTGTACAGTATAGGCATAAAAGAATTTGCTGCCTGTGATTGTGGAGCAGAAAGACACACCCCTGAGCACATACTGCAGTACTGCCCTAACCTCTCCCAGCAAAGACTGTGGATCTGGCCCAAGGGAGCCATGTTGCAAGAGAAGCTATGGGGGACCGGTGGCGACCTTAAACGCACAATCCTATTTGTGACCTAGACGGGACTCAATGTTTAGCATGACTGATGTCGAAAGCAGAAGAAGAAGATGAAGAATCAACAGTGTGCATACATAAAAGCACCATCTGTGAATGTCTGTCGTCAACAGTGTGCATACATAAAAGCACCATCTGTGAATGTCTGTCGTCAACAGTGTGCATACATAAAAGCACCATCTGTGAATGTCTGTCGTCAACAGTGTGCATACATAAAAGCACCATCTGTGAATGTCTGTCGTCAACAGTGTGCATACATAAAAGCACCATCTGTGAATGTCTGTCGTCAACAGTGTGCATACATAAAAGCACCATCTGTGAATGTCTGTCGTCAACAGTGTGCATACATAAAAGCAGCATCTGTGAAAAAAGATTCGCATGCATACTCAACTTCTGGAACAAGACTAAATCTGGAAGTGGACAAACAAATAAAGCTCTCTCTGTTACAGTCGGTGAACACTAAGACGAAAAAGGAAAACAAAGATAAAAAAGAAGAAGAAGAAGAAGAAGAAGAAGAAGAAGAAGAAGAAGAAGAAGAAGAAGAAGAAGAAGAAGAAGAAGAAGAAGAAGAAGAAGAAGAAGAAGAAGAAAGAAGAAGAAGAAGAGGAAGAAGAAGAAGAAGAAGAAGAAGAAGAAGAAAAAGAAGAAAAAGAAGAAGAAGAGAAGAAGAAGAAGAAGAAGAAGAAGAAGAAGAAGAAGAAGAAGAAGAAGAAGAAGAAGAAGAAGAAGAAGAAGAAGAAGAAGAAGAAGAAAGAAGAAGAAGAGAAGAAGAAGAAGATGAAAAAGAAGAAGAAGAATAATAAGAAGAAGAAGAAGAAAGAAGAAGAAGAAGAAGAAAAAGAAGAAGAAGAAAAAAGAAGAAGGAAGAAGAAGAAGAAGAAAAGTAGAAGAAAAGAAGAAGAAGAAGAAGAAGAAGAAGAAAGAAGAAGAAGAAGAAGAAGAAGAAGAAGAAGAAGAAGAAGAAGAAGAAGAAGAAGAAGAAAGAAGAAGAAGAAGAAGAAGAAGAAGAAGAAGAATCAAGAAGAAGAAGAGAAGAAGAAGAAGAAGAAGAAGAAGAAGAAGAAGAAGAAGAAGAAGAAGAAGAAGAAGAGAAGAAGAAGAAAAAAAGAAGAAGAAAAAGAAGAAAGAAGAAGAAGAAGAAGAAGAAGAAGAAGAAGAAGAAGAAGAAGAAGAAGAAGAAGAGAAGAAGAAGAAGAAAAGAAGAAGAAGAAGAAGAAGAAGAAGAAGAAGAAGAAGAAGAAGAAGAAGAAGAAGAAGAAGAAGAAGAAGAAGAAGAAATAAGAAGAAGAGAAAGACACAGAAGAAGATTCTGTAGCTGTTTTAAACAGAAACGAAGAAGACGAATGAAAACAAAATGCAGTTGTTTTAGTTGTAGTTGTTATTACTGTTGTAGTTGTCGTAGGAGTTGTAGTAGCAGTTGTTTTATTGAAGTATTAGTAGTAGTGGTGGTAGCAGTAGTGGTAGTATGGTGGTGATGGTAGTAGTAGTAGTAGCAGCAGCAGCAGCAGCAGCAGTAGTAGTTAGGTGGTTGTGGATCTATTCCCGCCTCCCAGTAGATCCCTAGAGCCCACACCCAGATCTTGTTATCCACACAACAACCTAAACAAACCATTCTTGTATTTTCTTTGTCAGACGTCAGTGTGTACGCAGAACGTAACGACGCATTGTCCGAAAGTCCAGTAGCGTTGTCGTCAGATAACCACATTAGCTGTGGCCAGTTTTAGCTCCGGATGGACAAACTGGACATAAAATATGTGGCTTAAGAGGATCATTGTCAATCAATGACGTGAGTTCCCCCAGCTTCATCACAAAAGGTCGAAAGAAATGTTTGCACGTGTTACCTAACTGAACATTTTGCTTGAGGAGGATGCGCAGAGCTCTGACATAAATTTATACTAGAATCGACTCGTATGTTGGAAGAATGTAAAAGTAGCTATTATAATTAGTGGCCCAACCCTGGACAAATGTTCGGGGTTCTGTGACTGAATTCCACTTATGATAGCAAACTAATTGCCTAGGTTAGAATATAATGGAAGAATAGAATGTGAGCCCTATTTGTCGCATAAAACAGCAATGCAGCACGCCAATGATGACGACAATGAGGATGATGATAAAGCTAAACTCTACTCGAAAGTTAGCTAAAGGGTATAAACATATTACAATGTAACTGTTACCTGTAGCAATAACAGTTACACTGGGCACGTGTTACGTGTAAGTAAAATACGATGTCCATTCTATATTGGTCGAGTCGTATGATAATGAAGCCGTGCTGTAAAGAGTATCCTCGCATCTCTAAGCCGTTTTAGGCCTTTCACAATAAGCAAAAAGAAAATGACCCTTATCAAACTGATGGGGTTACTGCGGATATGTTGCTAGCTCCATATTTGTGTAGATTACTAGGAACTCTTTGTGCGGTCTGGGTGGCCATACACGACGCTGGTGAATAAGAAGACAGTCAAAAGAAAAAGTCAGGTATTCATTGTTTTTTCTAGTATGACAATGGCGATAGCGATTGTCACGGGCGAACTGCCTGGTTGGCGTAACAGAAAGCAACTCAGGCATCGATCCTGACAGATTTAATGAGCAAGGAAGAAGATATGACAGTTAACTCCTATTGAATATGGTGAGCATGGAGGCACTGCTATGGCTGCTGCATCGAAAGACGGAGCACGAATGAGTCCCACCGGCGTGTTAGGATTTCGATACGGATAAAAAGCAGCAAATCGTAACTCGATTATGGTGCGTTAAATACAATTTCCACAGGTATACACCGATGGATCATTGGAGGGAGCAGGATAAAACTGAGGAGCTGGATCGGTCATCAAGCTGCAAGATGGGACCACAGTAGAAACGTCATGCGCCTCCAGAAAACTCTCAACAAACTTCAGAGCAGAGCAGCAAGCAATTATTGATGCAACCAACATTCTTGAGAAAAAAAAAATAGCGAAATTGTTTTCCTTTGTGACAGCATGTCAGTCCTCCAGACGACTCAGAGAGATCCACGAGACAACATGGACAGAGAACAGACACGCCAGTTAACACTCTCAGAAACAATCAAATTGTTCTCGAATGGAACCCGGCTCACTGCTGCATACCATGAAACAAGTTGGCGAATAGACTTACAAACATTTGAATAAAGGAGAAACACCACATCCATTCAATGTCATTACCAGAAATCAAAACACTCATCAAGGAAAAATACAAAGAATTGTGAAAGAACAAACTAACAGTAAACGCCCACAGGACCCCATTAGCAGACCTAACAGAAAGCAGCATATAAAAGGACACTGCAGGCTCAACTTGAAATGGTCCTGAAATCCTATGCTATCACAGTGGAAGACTTTTCTTGACAATGACAGGTCTTGCTAGTCACTAGCCATCGCCATAGGCTGTGAGTCTCATGCCTCCTCATAGCGCAGTATAACACTATCGTCTGGAAAGACGGAAAGGTGCCAATGCCAATGCAGGCTCAACTACCTCATGCACAAAATACAAGTCTGTAGGTCCCCATAGTGTGCCTGTCATACAAGAAACAAACACCTGAGCACATTCTACAGACCTGCCTATTCTACCTACAACTTCGAAAAGAAACCTGGTTTTAAGATCAAAGAGTGCCGAGCAAGTCATGCAAAACCACGAAGGACCTACTACTGACATGCGAATTCATAGACGCAACCGATCTGTTGGTCTGATTTACGCATACGAAACCAATTGCAAAGAAAAATAAAAAATAAAAGAAGAAGAAGAAGAAGAAGAAGAAGAAGTAACATTCCGTCGCTTTCACTCCCAAAGAAACTTTCTCATATTGATCTTAGGTTAGAAGACAAGTCAAAGTATTATTTTTAAATCGATACGTATTGCTATTCCGAGGCTACCGTGCTGTGCACCTCTTGCGGAAATTGAAAAAAATGTGTTTGACCGATCTTGTACCACTGATCTCCAGTACTCCGATAACAAACCACACACTGTGTCAAACAGCGGAGAATGTCATTCGCAACAATCTGATGCTTAACATTACACATATCAAGCCCTTAATAACAGATCTCAACCCAGTTATCTTCCACAAAGAAGCACAACCATTGAGGTGAAGTTCAGAAGCGGAATACCTGTATCCTAGGAACAGTTGGAGTCTTCGTCCTTCGATAAACACTTAAAGTGATTGTTTGATATACATAGAATTATTATTGTTCCTCCCCCTCCCCCAGTTATTGTTTTTGTTGTTCTTCTTCTTTTTCTTTTTCGTTTTCTCCCTCTTCTCCTCTCCTTGCGATTTCGCAAGCTCGTAATTGGTGGCCTTTGAGACATGACTGGACTGTAGGTCTTGGTATGGGAACCTACATGGGGATTACATTTCATATAATCATCATCATTTGTCATCATTATTATCATCATCATCATCATTCATCACCATCATTATAAGTACTGTGAACATAATTTCAGCGGTTGGCAATGGAACTCGTAATACAGGCTTTAAACACTTAAAGTTACCCAGTTGTCTCTGAGATAAACACCCCTGCACCCTTTTCCCCCTCCCCACCCGACCACATTATGTACTGTCCATCCCCCAGTGCACACGTTAAGCACAGAACTTTACTGAGTCACTTACCCTGGTGTAATGATCAGGCGTATAGAAAGGTCTCTGCCAGAATAATGGAGATCTGGAGAAAGCCAAATCACTTGGGACGAACATGGTCAGTGTCACAGTGGCCAGATTGTTGACCTGATCCTCGCGGAGTTTCTTGATGCATTTGTTAAATATCCTGAACACCGGATATACTGAATATTGGTTACAGTGCATATTGGCTACATTTCATAATGGTTACAGTAAATACTGATTACAGTGCATATTGGCTACATTACATATTGGTTACATTAAATACTGATTACAATGCATATTGGTTACACTACATACTAGTTATAATGCATATTGGTTACAGTAAAGAGCAAAGTTATTTGTATTGCTCATAAACGTAGTGTTTTTAATATTCCGTATTATATAATGCAAAAATTCCTTCCTTCCTTCTCTCTCTCGCTCTCTCTCTCGCGCTCTCTCTCTCTATCTCTCTCTCCCCCTCTCTCTCTTTCTTTCTCTCTCTATCTCTCTTTAATTTTTTTTTTTAAATGGGGGAATCACCTGCTGCAACAATGTATCTAACAAAAATACGTGTGTACTGTAAACAGGGTTGAGGGCTGGTAAAGAATCGCTTTAACTACACACGGATATCTCAATTACAATTTCAGTCACCTCCACGAGATAGGCCAGACTTCACACACGCCTTCATTATGTCTGTGTCAGGTGTTGGTGCAGTTAGTTTTCATAACGTTGCAGAATGATATATGCTTAGCTAAAATTCAACATAATAATAATAATAATAATAATAATAATAATAATAATAATAATAATAATAATAATAATAAGCAGAAAAAGAAGAAAAGGAAAACGAAGAAGAAGAAGAAGAAAAAGAAGAAAAAGTGGAAGAAGAAGTAAAAAAAAAAAAAAAAGAAGAAGAAGAAGAAGAAGAAGAAGAAGAAGAAGAAGAAGAAGAAGAAGAAGAAGAAGAAGAAGAAGAAGAAGAAGAAGAAGAAGAAGAAGAAGAGAAAGAACAAGTACAAGTGAAGACCCCTTTCCACGCCTTGTTAGGCATACAAGACTAGACTTGTATTATATCGAAAAATCAGTACTTGGTGGGTGATGTTTTAAACATCACGACGGCCGCCTTTACTTCCCAAGACTTTACCAGATACCCATTCAAGGATGGGTCGACCTGGAAGCCCAGGTCTTGAAAAATTGCCCGCTCTGTCATGAAAAATGTTATTATAATAGTATTATTAATTATTATTATTTTTATGTGATCAATGCTGATTCAAAAAGAATATGAATGTAATTGTTCCTTCTCCCTCTACTCTGTTTGTATATTTGATGGGTCCAAAGATTGGTTGTAAGACTGTTTTCAGAAATTTACGATCAGGCTTCATCTCTTGTAGCTGTGCACCAAGTTACAGAGCCAAATAAAACGACTGCTCCTATCAATGTTTTATTGTTTCCTTCTTTGCGTTCACTGACTGTACATTCCTTTGGAAAGTTCTGGTTGTTCGTCCAACTCTGGACCTTAGTCGTTGTTCCATAGCCTGAGTTTTGCGTGCATGTACATTTTACAGATGTGTCTTTTCTGTATACAGTTTCTTGGTACCTTACCTCTAAGGCAGATGCACTCCGACTTCGAAGGAAGCTGCACAGTTAGTTGACATGCTTGTTAGGGACACAGTGGGTCTATTCTTGTTTTCCCAACAACGAAGGCCGGAACCCACATGGGGATTATTTATTGTTGCTTCTCGGTGTTACCAGAGACTTTGACTTTAGCAGATGTATACTTTTTTCCCCCAGAATGCATTATAGACTGTATTTCTTCTCTCAGTAGGAGCAGTCGAAGTTTGCTCTCAAGTAATTATATGTTTCCGTTCGTTTTTGAGTGAATATGCCAGATATGTACATCAAACATAGTCAGATTTAGCTGTAGCAGTCTGGTGGAAGTACAGAAAGTAGTTTACAGTTAGTGTTAGGATTGCTGCCCGTCCCATGAACCAACTGTTGCTAAATGTTAAAATGTTAAAACCGCCATAAAAGTCGACTCTTAGTTCGGGAAAACATATTTTGAGCTTGAGAACTCGACTGACACACTGTATTTTACTGCAGTACTTGTCTTCAGAAGGCGCCTAACCAATTTCTGCAGTTATTGACTTTCTAGGTTTACAAGAAAAATTTAACTCTACTAGTCTGTCATGCTTTCTGAATGGTAGAATGCGTATACTGTTGTCCAAAACAATAAAACTCCTGTTTACTACGAAATAACCTCAAACTCTGCTATTTTGGGATTGTGAAACTTCGCCAACATCCCACAACCACCGATATGTACATATTATGGATTTATAATTATGACACTGACAGATGCACCGACCTTGACAGTTAGACTGAAGAGTACTTCTAATATCAACCCCAGTACCATAAATCTCCATGTGTGTTCCATAAACCTTCCTCATTATCATCATCTGACTGACTCAGAAAACAGAGCCTACATAACCTATATTCCTTTCATGAAACTATAAGAGTATCATTTGCTCGGTGATCCATAGTCTGAATGCCTTTAAAGAGAGACACTGCTGGGGCGGGCTTTTTGTTATTGTATTCAACTAAGATTTATATTTTGAATTCTCTCAAATTTTTTTAAAAGAAAACATAGACTGCATCCGTATTCACACAAGTTTTAATTATGAACATTTATAATCAGGCCGTCCTCGTTCCAAATCAGAATCAGGGATTATAACAAAATTGTTTAGAGTAATGCGTCACTATTAAATTATATTTTTTCTAATGGCTGACCGAACGGAGACCCGGGTTCGAATCTTCGTAGAGTGATAGACATATTATCTGTCAGAATCGTCAGTTCGTAAATCGTTTTGACAGCACTGGCAAAGCGGCCGTATATCCACTGTGTAGCAGATGTCATAGACTCTCTATCTCTAGTTGCATTTCTAAGTTTCAGACTGAATATATCTTATCTCTTTGTATTTTGGGAGTCGCCGGGGATCAAAAGGTCGTGGGTTCGCTCCCCGACGGAACCGGACTTTTTTTCAAAAATGACTTTGGCTCCCAGGTCGACCCAGCCTTAAGTGAGTACCGGGTGCAGTCCCGGATATAAAGGCGGCCGGCGTGATGCTGACCACATCACCAATCTTGTCCGATTGGTCGATTAAATATAGGTCTTGTCCCATATACCATACACGCTTAAAGGCGTGGAAAAGGATCCTTTACTTTACATTTTATTTTGTATTCTTATACATTTATTTCTCTCTAGGATCCAGTGGGGTTAGTGTGTGAGAATCGGGGTTTATGCTGATTAAAATTCGTCAGCACTGCTGAATACTAAACTAGACACTAATCTCTGACACATCCTGGGTAGATACCAGTCTATGACACACATCCTGGGCAACTACTATTCTATAGGACACATCCTAAGCATCTAGTAGTCTGTAGGACACATTCTAGGCAGAAACTAGTCTGTGTGGGACACATCCTAGACAGAAATCAGTCTCTGGGACACATCCTAGGCAGATCCTAGTCTGTGCGACACATCCTAGACAGATACTAGTCTGTGGGACACATCATATGCAGCTACTAGTCAGTGGGGTTCATTCTACCCAGATATGTCTATAAAACATATCCAAGGCAGATCTAGTCTGTGGGATACCCTGACCAGACATTAATAACTTTTAAAAACACAAACTATGACTGGGAAGCAGATCAGTGGAAACGAAGAACACACATACACAAATACAACCAGTCTTTACCAACCACGAAAATTACTGCAATCATCAATCAACAGCAGCGTGTATACATCGACCAGGCATCACTCAGAGGCTATTGTGGTAAACATCGGGCCAACTTCCTGCCCCCCCCCCCCCCCCCCCATTTCCTTCTACTGAATTTGTGCTGGATCATCCTGGAAGCCCAGATTATCTGTCAAACATCCGCCTCTACGTGAATTCTAGACTCGTTACTACCGTATAAAAAAAAAAAAAAAAAAACGACATATATTTTGCACGTATAAGACATTCACCTGGTAGAATTGACGTTGTCCTCACTAGTTATCTGTACAGCATTGTGGTAGACGTAGAGGAGGAGGTTGTCGATGACGTGGATGACACCGTTGGCTGTGGCTATGTTTGGCTTGACCACGCGGGCATGGACGCGATTGCTCACCACGTATACTGAAATCAGTACAATCTAGTAACGTCTCCATCGTTTTTAGACAAGGATAGACGAGTTTTCGTGTGATAATATTGATTGCATCATCATCATCATTATCATCATCATCATCATTTTCAACTTCTTCTTTTTTTTTCTTTTTCTTCTTTCTCTTTTCCCCCGCCTCATTTTCCCTTCCATCCTCTTTTGACCGGAGGCCAAAATTAACTCATGCAAACTGTTTTCTATCTTTTGCTAGCAAGTCTATTTCTAATTATGTTAGTGTTGTGCTTTTAAATATATCGCCCTGTCTTTTTATCCATGCACTGCAGTGCAAGCATATTCTAGTTATAATATTATTATGTTTTCCAACTGTGTCAAATACAGTATCCTGCCATTTTATCACCGCTTGGTTCTTTAAAATTTGATTAGTTCTTTTCCTAAGCTCTCCATTAGTAATTCTGTCAAGCCTTATAATTTCTTTAATTCTTATTACATGGGTTACAACAATAGGATTATTTTGTTACAGATGCACTATCTACTTTAAAGTGATGACAAGAGACATAGTTTACGAGTTGCTTACAAAAACCATGACGTTTGTAGAACCGGAGAGTGCCAAACATGGCCGCTCTTGGTGGAATATCATACATCTCGTAGGGAAGAAAAGAGCCTCGTTTTCAATAATGTGTGCTTCATAGACCTGTGCGGGTAAGTAAAATATAAGACTTGTCATAAACAGCGCTCTGAAACAACCATCAAAACAGAATAAGCCTCACACAAACAGCCGCATGAGATATTTAACAGAAAATGGAAAACTTACTTTTGTGACACAGATGGTTAACATTTAAAGCGACAGAGAGTATATGCGACGCCATACCATACAAGGATAACACCAAACGAAAACCGGTTGGTAGACCATGTACAAAATAGAAAGATAACATCAAACTCAACAACAGGATTTTTTTTTTTTTGGTGGTCAAAGCTGCTTGAAGAGGAAAAATTAGAACTTTGAACATCCTTTGACATCTGAAACAGTAAGAAATAAAACGAAGAAGAAAAAAAAAAGAGAGAAGAAGAAGAAAAGAAGTTAAAAAAAAAAAAAGAAGAAGAAGAAGACAGAGAAAGGGAAGGAGAAGGAGTGGGAGTAGTAGTAGTAGCAGTAGTAGTAGTAGTAGTAGTTGTAGTAGTAGTAGTAGTAGTAGTAGTAGTAGTAGTAGTAGTAGTAGTAGTAGTAGTAGTAGTAGTAGTAGTAGTAGAAGTATTAAAAGTAAACGGACTGAATTGTTTATAGAGAAGCTAAGTCGTAACTGTATGTATATATATATATATATATATATATATATATATATATATATATATATATATATATATATATTTATAGTACAGTAAAGTCCACCCCACTCAGTTGCGGAAAACACAATGCAGTGACCAGAGTCATCGATGTGAAGATGTTGAAGTGAAGACGGAGAACTCCAGAGGGTGAATGCGTCAGGATTCAATGTATTGGTGTCTGAACGACGCGTTGCTCGAATGCTGTTGAATAGGACACGGACTGGACATATTGTATGAGTGCTTAAATGTTAACAAACAGTCATGTATCATGGAGGCGATGTCGACTCGTAACATCTATGTCATCGTAGATTGTCAGTCATATATATAATCCATTAGACGACAGCCCCTAGACAAAAGCCAAAGTCAGAGTAGACGATTATTGCAGGATCCTTCTTACTTCCCCGATTTGTTTCTGAATTACTGCCCGAATTGGGGTTTAACTCCATGCATATGTTCATGTTCTATATATAACAATTCAAAACATAATGAAACGTTTCTAAATTTTATTTTCTGCGCAGATGCAAACTAAATAGGCACATGATGTTAAATTTCGCATTCTACGTAGCTGTATCATAAATTAAATTATTCTAAGGTGTCATGTTTGATGTAACTGAGCACCGTAATAAAGCATGGTTCTTGAACGTCACCTGTCTTAGAAGTGTGATGTTTTCAAACAGCGGCGTTTTCCCGTAGTCAGGCATGTTCATCAGGTAGGAATCATTAGGGGAGAATGACGTCATGAGAGTTTGTGAACTGTTTGTCTTCACCTTCAGCGACTGGGCTACCACTTCCGCCATGACTATTGCCCTGTGGTTAGTAGAGTGAACACATATGACCTTGTTTCACGACTATTGAACTGTTTGTGTGTAACATGATTGGACGACTATTTTCTGTTTGTGTGTAACAAGATTTAACGATTATTTTACTGTTTGTGTGTTACATGATTTGACGACTATTTCACTGTTTGTAATGAACATGATTTGACGACTATTTCACTGTGTGTTTAACATGATTTGATAACTATTTCACTGTGTGTGTTTAACATGATTTGACGACTATTTTACTGTTTGTGTGTAACTTGATTTGACGACTATTTTACTGTGTGTGTGTAACATGATTTGACGACTATTTTACTGTGTGTGTGTGTAACATGATTTGACGACTATTTTACTGTGTGTGTGTAACATGATTTGACGACTATTTCACTGTGTGTGCAACATGATTTGACGACTATTTTACTGTTTGTGTGTAACATTATTAGACGACTATTTCACTGTGTGTGTAACATGATTCGACGACTATTTTACTGTTTGTGTGTAACATGATTTGACGACTATTTCACTGTGTGTGTAATGTGATTTGACGACTATTTCACTGTGTGTGTGTGTGTGTGTGTGTGTGTGTGTGTAACATGATTTGACGACTATTTCACTGTTGTGTAACATGATTTGACGACTATTTTACTGTTTGTGATGAACATGATTTGACTACTATTTCACTGTTTGTGATGAACATGATTTGACGACTATTTTACTGTTTGTGTGCAACATGATTCGATGACAATTTTACTGTTTGTGTGTAACATGATTTGACGACTATTTCATTGTTTGTGATGAACATTGATTTGACAACTATTTCACTGTTTGTGATGAACATGATTTGACGACTATTTCACTGTTTGTGTGCAACATGATTCGATGACTATTTTACTGTTTGTGTGTACATGATTTGACGACTATTTCACTGTTTGTGTGTAGCATGATTTGATGAGTATTTCACTGTTTGTGATGACCATGATTTGACGACTATTTTACTGTTTGTGTGTAACATGATTTGACGACTATTTCACTGATTGTGTTTGTGATGAACATGATTTGACGACTATTTCACTGTTTGTGTGTAGCATGATTTGATGAGTATTTCACTGTTTGTGTGTAGCATGATTTGACGACTATTTTACTGTTTGTGTGTACATGATTTGACGAATATTTCACTGTTTGTGATGAACATGATTTGACGACTATTTCACTATTTGTGTGTAGCATGATTTGACGACTATTTCACTGATTGTGTGTAGCATGATTTGATGAGTATTTCACTGATTGTGTGTAACATGATTTGACGACTATTTTAATGTGTGTATGTGTAACATGATGAATGGTTAGTAAACACACAAAGAGAAGAAACTTTTTCCCCACCAGCGGCACATAGAGAATACGCCACAATACCCATATTTTAATAAAAGTATCAGCTCTTGAGTGCTCATGTTGTTAACAAAAATCACACATGTCGCGTTTACTTCCCAGTATTTTTGTGTGTGTACTCGACTTAGACTGTCTCCACCAGGAAGCGCTATATGGATTGTTCAATGTTTTTATGATGCAGATGCGAACTCAAGCCTGATATGCCAAGTATAAAAGATCAGGTATAAATTTAATAGTAACAATCTTTATAAAGGAAACATTTTCTAGCAATTTTCTAAATTTGATTTAGGGTGTATTAATTATAGAAACTATTTTTCAAACAATAGTACAAATTCAATCTTTTAAGAATACCTACACAAATTCTGAAATTGATGTAATTTTCTTTGCTCATTAATATGTCAGTTTTTTTTTCGAAAATAATAATGACCAAATTTGGCATCCAAGATTAAACATTAATAATAAGTGAACATATTAAAAAAAGACGTTAGGATAAATTAGAAACCTGATTACATCAATCTTTAATTCATTAGAAAACGAAAATCTTTCGAATCTGCAGCTGCTCACTGAGAGAGATTTTCTCTGTGAAAACGTTGCATTTCATACAAAAACTCCAAGTTTTTACATAAAGAGCAACCAATATTGTTCCTAAAAAATGCTCGCGCTGTACACGCCTGCATGAAAACAGAAATAATAACCAAATAAATCAAATAAAGAAAAGATATTTCACCAGATGGCGAATGTAGCAAAACACAATCTTGCTTGAAATGACACCAATGAGAAGCCATAATATACTGATAAAAAGTAAGTTAATTAACATCATAAAATACGCGTTGACAAGAATTAACGCTGCAGATCCCGATCTCTTGCTGGCATTGTGTGCTGCCGGTGTTAATTAAATCCTGGAGAGAGTGCATATAATGATACAGCTGGATACTTGGCTAAAGACCTTAATCTTGGTAAAATAGTGTTATATCACATTTTAACTTTCTCTATACTACTGAATGCTGTGAAATATCCAATATTGTTCATGTCTGTGTGTATGTGTGTGTGTGTGTGTGTGTGTGTGTGTAGGTGTGTGTAGCCAGTTTCACAGCTTTGTTTAGATTCTTAGTCACAGTTTTCAGCGGATTAATTTATTGATACTAGCCTGACTGCAATGTGAATGAACAGACAATGTCACATTGAGGAGACATCCTGAGGAGAAGCCACAAGAAAAGTTCTTTGGACACATTGTTTTAAAACTAAAAGTCAAACCTGGTGAGCCTCAACCAAGTCTATGTAGCGACAAGAGAAAGAGAAAACAGACCCCAGACTTTCAGATTCCTGAAGTTTTATTATACCAAAGCTGGATAGATTTTAAGAATATAATTCAAACCACTGCACAAGAATGATTTTATTGTCCACCATAATAGGAAATAATAAATGGTTATGTTCACGTAAATCTTCCCAGACAAAGTAGGTCACCTTTGATTGACAAGTTTGTTGGGCTGGTCGACTTTCCTGAAGGTGACATATGTGTCCCGCTCTATTGTTTTCTTTCTGTATTGTCTTGGATGTACGTTTTCATTTCAAGAAAGAGAATGCCTGTGGCATAGATTGCAGCACTATCTAGGTGGGTGTGTTGCTTCGAGGTGAGTTGTTAGAACCAGTTGCTCCATTTTGTTTGGAGCGTTAAAAGCACTGGCGTGCTGAAATATACAACTAGTGATATCAGCGACATCGCATAACACTCCCGTAACCTTGTGCCAAGGTGACAGGTTCAGGAACTACCAATCAGAAGTGACCTAGTTGGTGTATAGGCGGCGCGTGGGAAGATGAACGTTACGTTTGTCCAATAAATCGTTAAATTTTAAAAATAAAAGTGAAAAAAGCAGTCGGTAAAAGAATACAGGCCAGGTAAATGTGACTAAATGATACTAGTAACAGACGAAATAACGAAAAATTTAGAGCTAACATTAACACCAAGTTTAGTGAAAATCATGCCTGGGACAGTAGCAAAAGCGACACAAGCAAGTGTGTACAAAATCTAACCTGAATGATAAACTGTGATCTTCAGGCTTCTCGATATACTGGGCAATGGTAAGACCACTAGACACAGGGAAGATGATGCTGTCTAAGACGTGGATCACGCCGTTGTCAGCAACAATGTCAGCGCGAACGATAGCTGCTCCATTGATGGTGGTGATCTGAGGGCCAGACAGACATCCAGTGGTAGACGTTACTGGTGAACACACTTGGCACTGCGTTGACCGACATTGTAACACTGCAGAAAACCTTATGCATGCTGATTTTCTCCAGGTTTTTTTTTTTTTTAAATCAAATTATGAATTGTGTAAACAGGTGTTAATAAACACTCTCAGAAATTCTGGCATGCCTATTATTTTTTCAATCGTGTGTGTGAGTTGTGAGGGAAAAAAGGTAAACATAAATTTGCTAAAATTCGTAAATACATGGAATGAATCATAACTGCAAGGAAGTAAATCATTGGCGTCTGTAAAACAGGTTTTAAAACCTGGTTTGAAATTTCGAGATACCCAATTCGATAAGAACTGCGGAAGAGGGAGAGGGGGGGGGGGGAGGGGGTATAAAGAGGAGGCAGTGAGTGTATTCTTTTCCCCCTCATAATGAGGCCCCGAAACCAACACGGGGAGTGTCGTCAATGAGATTCTAGAGAGTGATTCATAAAGGCTGATTGGGCAAACGGATTTAGTTCTTTCCTGCACATTTCTCTTTCCTCATAGATTCGGGCAAACTTCGATGTTTCTTCCACCAGCTGCATGTTAGAGCTGAGACCTTTTTTTTAAAGCCTTTTTTTCAGTCTCCACATGTCTCCATTTCTCTGTCTTTTGTCCTAAACGCTTGATCGTTCTCTTACATAGTTACACTGACCCCAGGGTCTTTAAATCAGTGATCAGCACTACTTCTACTACTACTACTACTACTACTACTATTAATGCTGCTACTAGTACCAGTGCTACTAATATTACTACGAACATGACTACAATTACCACTTCTCCCGCCGCCGCCGTCGCTGCAGCTGCTGCTAATAATGTCCATGTATTGAAATCATAGAAAGGGTACAATATTTCATTGATAATAATTCAACAATGAAATTGAATTAAGCAGTCTTGTATCAATGGACGCTGTTTATCTTATCTATTATGTCTCATAACAGATTCTTTTACCCATGTTGTTTTGAACTGCACCCAGAAGAATTCTGCAGTCTATGAACTACATAGACTTCGTGGTTTTGTATCCAAAGTTGTTAGGTTTTCAAATTATAGCAAAATGCAATGAGTTTTGGATATGAGTTGGTTTATTTCTTTTCTGTTGGAGCTGTCTGGCAGTTTAATCCCGCTTTGTGGTGTCTTTTGTGCGATAGCGGGTCTTAGGGGCACCATATTGTCAGTTATCATCTATAAATATTTTCATTGCTCTTCGGGAGAGTCATTTCAATTTTCCATATTTCAGCGTTACCAAGAAAGCAGAAAAATGTTGTCTTTGAGTTGGTAAAATACTGTAGTATCTGTCATTTACAAATTAATGACTCATAGGTCGTGATAACATGAATAAAAATTAGTCAATACTTAGTGTTAATTTGCAGTATTAGGTGAAATTCTTGTTTTCCTGTATGTAAATATCCCTGTACTAATTATTTCGAGCGCAATCATAACAGAAAAACTAACAAGAAGTTACATGGATATTTCGTTTGTAACCTTTCAGTTGACAAAGAAAAAAGTTGTATTCAATTTGTGATTATCTTTTTGATTTTATTTTCACAGACTTTTGTTTGATTAGGGAGCTGTTATCATGAATTAAATGGACGTTTTACCTGCACGCGTTTTATTTCATTTAATGGTTTTTATTTATACTGTAATCAAATTTTTGCTACCGTTGAAAATTAAACATTACCATAAAAATCATCATCATGCGAGCTTTTCATCCTCATCCTGAAATTTGTTTTTTTTAGTACGTAGCAAGTTTTTGTGCTGACAACTTCTTGTGCAGTGTCAAAAGGCTGCCAAAAACCTTCTCTTGATGCCTTCCTCCATATCTCATTCATTAAATATTTTCGGATATCACGCATATCACAATTTTACTTTCCTGATAATCTAATGAGGGATGATGTCCACCCCGGTCTGATGTTTGTAATATTTTGTCTTGCGTAAGTTTCCTTCGTTGAAGTGTACTGAGGCGTTTTAAAACTGTACACAAATACCCGCTGATTGACGATGATTGTGTAACGTACAAACTGTTTTACCCCTAGAGTGACAGCGAAGATACAGGTTTTGGAAAATAAGAATGCAAATATCATGGAACTATAAAAACCTACAGTGTTAGTTCGCTAAGATATAAAAAAAAAAAAACAAAAAAAAAAAAAAAAACAATACAACAACCTTAAACTGATTGCATAAATTAAACATAGAAGATCAATGTTCTTTACACATATTATAAGAACGAATGGGGTCGAGAACTTGGTGACAACTGGCGGGACTGATAGAAAAGAAAAGAGAAAGGCAAATAAAGAAAGACACCCGCACGGATGGGGCAAAGCCAGAGCAGTGGTCAGATTGGTGATTCTGCTGATTGTAGGAGATTTTTAAACACGAAACTATTTTTTGCAAGCAGTATTCTATATATTTCTATACATATAAATGTACTGCATTTTACTATCATGGAAAGATATTAAACTGAACGAAAAGTAGATCAGCGAGCTTCATAATATAATAAACACAAACGAAAAGTGAACGTTACGGCTTCAGAGCCTTTATCAGCACCTACATAAATAAAACAGCACCGTACAAGTAGAGTTTTCATAAAGAAAGCATGACTGAAAAGACATATCTGAAAAAACGAGATATTTCAGTATTGACCCTACACCTTTAGCAAATAAACAGACAACTACATAGTTATGCCCTTGCAGTTCAATGACAAGTATTATAATACTGCAAGGCGCACCAACGTATTCTTTTACAACCAAGCCAGAGTTTGATCACTACAAAAACTGAACAACATAAAAGATTATTAAATTAGAGATTCGTATTGCGCATAAGATATTTCACAGCTGGGCGCAATAATTTATTAATAACGGTCTCTATGTTGTTCTATGACCTAAATAAAACTATTACATTATCTATAATGAGAAACAGGGGCGGTTGGCCGAACGGTGAAGAAAACTGGCATCTCATGCAAGAGACCCTGTTTTTTCTGTCGGAGGCAAAACATAAAGTCCTATCATTCACAGTCCGTGGAGACAGAACTAGCCAGGCAGTCTAAATCCTCAGACTCAAAGACCTCTTTGTATATACAGCAAAAATGACAAATACCGGCAGTAAATAAATAGGACTGGGAAAAACTGCATTTTATAAAATGAAGAACATCTTGTGCAATATATCTTTGATATTGAGAGTTAGAAAAAGAATTTGCTTGCTACATACATCCAGTTTTAACATATGGCTGTGAATCCTGGACAATCGATAGGCAGGCCAAACAATTTTTGGAGGCCTCGGAGATGTGGTTTTACCGAAGAATGCTTAGAATACCCTGGCCAGCCAAAAAGAGCAACTTAGAGGTTTTGAAAGAGGCGGGAGCCCGAAGACAACTTATCACAGACATCAGAAGGAGACAGTCATCATTTTTCGGCCATGTTATGAGAAGAGGGAAAATAGAACATGTTGTGCCCACTGAAAAGATCTGTAGAAGGAGGGATAGAGAAAGACGAGACAAGATTCTTGACAGTCTTAGTTAGTTAGTTAGTTAGTTAGTTAGTTAGTTAGTTAGTTAGTTAGTTAGTTAGTTGGGTTATCCTCATTGCACTCCGGACATGTCCATAGGTGCTCAGATTCTCCCCTAAGTATGAACCCCAACGTCCGATGGCTAATAGTACCAGTTCTATGTTGATTAACAAGTCTTCTGGCGTAGCTGGTGTGCGTCTCGTTTTTTGCTGTGCCGATCTTAATTCCCAAGTCTGCCATTCTGGCGAGTGATGTGGATTCACTGCCACCAAAGTCCTCTATTCTTCCCATTTCTCTGAGGGCATTGATAATATCAGCATGATCCATAGGCTGACCGTCGGTAGTGATAGCGGATCCAGCCAACCTGTCAGCTCTTTCATTTCCATTGACGCCTGCGTGTCCCGGAACAAAAATAAAGGTGACTCCACGAACAGTGGACTTCTGTAATGATTCAAGCCATTGTCTTCGCACTGAACCTGCCTGAACCCTCCGGATCATACTCATTGAATCACTGAGTATACACACGCGGGTGTATTTTTGTGTTTCAAGCCAGGCAAGCGCTTGTGTCACTGCCATCACCTCCATCGTCATGCTGCTGGTTGTCATGGAGAAGGCGCCGTTGGCTTCTTTGACTGTTCTGCCCGCTGAGCGTGCTGTAAATGCCCATGCGCTTCTTCTTTGGCGTATATCTGTATAGATTATTGCATCTGCTTCGTCTAAATTTTCACCGATAAGAGCGTTGACCTCTGCATTAACAGCAACAGGATTCTCTTCTCTACATCGCCTGTTGAGTGTGACAATACAGGAAAATGTACAAATAAACGCCCGAGGCACAGGTATCCATTCTGCACCAGGTATGATGTCGGTTAGGCTGCATATTTGCCTAATAACATCTTCTGCCCGACCTAGCCACGATTTCCCCCTCTTCAGTCTGTCGCCCTTCTCACTAAAAAGCGCTTGATGCAGTGGGTGTTTCTTATCATCGCATATTTTGAGATATGCCCGAGCCCTCCACATCCTGATCCTTTGGTTCATTGTTGGAAAGTCAAGTAGATACCTCATTGCTCCACAGGATGTGTCTCTAGTACATCCCAAAATAATGCGCATGGCTTCATTTTGCACCTTTTCGAGTCGTTCAATTTGGGTAGCACTGACAGTGAGGATGGCCAGAGCGTATTCAATGGGGGAAAGGACCAGACTAGAAGTATTAGTAGTCTTTGCTCAATATTGGAAGCAGCCATAATCCTCATTGCAGATAGACCTTTGCGTGCTTTTGTTATCACATGGTCAACGTGTTCCGTGAATGACAAGCTGCGATCGAACCTCACCCCGAGAAACGTCATAACGTTGGTTCTGACCAATACATTATCACGCATTTTCACTTCTGGTAAGTCCGACTTGACAATGTGATTGTTCAAAGAGAACCATGACACTGATGCCTTCGAAGGATTGACATAGGCATTGGAACCATCACACCAGGCGGCAATTCGATCGAGTTCTTTGTGCATAATGCTGGCGATCTCCTGTCTATCACGCCCTCGTCGATAAATCAAAATGTAATCAGCAAATGACAAAGTCCTTTCCTTTCCATTCAACTGCTGCTCAGTGATCTTACTTTACTTTTACTTTTTCCTTCCACGTATGCCGCTAAGCGTTGTGGGGAGATGCAAGTTCCTGTCATAAGCAAGGCGGGCAGCATCTGATGTTCTGAGGCCATGCTTTTGGCAGGTTTCGGAGACCCCGTCAATCCACCGTTTCCTTGGTCTTCCTCTTGCCTTATATCCTGAGCTTCTTTGGTTGAAAATTTGTGATGTTATTTGATCATTTTTCATCCTGGTTAGATGTCCAAACCATTTCATTCTTTGATGTTCAATGTAGTCTAAACATGGCGTAGTTTTGACAGTGTTTCTAATGTCTATATTCTTTATCCTGTTTAGTCTGGTCTTATTCGCTGCTTTTCTTAGACATTTCATTTCACAGGCTTCTATTTTTCTTTCATGGGTCTTGTTGATTGTCCATGTTTGGCACTGGTAGCAGAGTGTTGGAATGAAGATGGTGTTTATCAATTGTCTTTTGGTCTTCATGGTTATATCTGGATGTTTAAGCAGAGGTGATAGTTGGTATGTGACAGCATTTGCTTTCTGTATTCTTGTTTCTATCTCTCTGTCCATTCTTCCATCCTCTGTAAATATACTGCCCAAGTATTTGAACTCTTTGGTTTGCTTGATTTTGGCACTTCCAACATTTATATTCAGTGGCCTGTGTGTTCTGCTGATCTTCATAACTTCTGTTTTTTCTGTACTGATTCTCATATTATGTTGTAAACACTGCTGCTCAGTGATCATCACCATGTAAACGTTGAATAAGACTGGTGATAGCGGTGATCCCTGTGGCAAGCCTGGACATATCGTTTGCGGTTCGGAGGACCAGCTACCACATCTTAGTACAATCTTTCTCTGGAACAGGACCGCAGCAATCCAGCGGATCAGAATAGGATTAACTTCTAGTTTAAGCAGTAATTGCATTAAATAATCGTATGGTACTTTATTGTAGGCATCTTCTAAGTCCAACACTGCCGCACATGTCTCTTCTTTAATCTGAAATCCCTCGTACACATCGTAGACGAAAACTGCAGCATTGAACCATGTCTCTTTATTTAACCTGTACCCTCCAAGTGTTGGTGGGAACTTATCATGTAGTTCCAAGTAGGTGGTCAATCTTTGTGCGACAATTTTTTCCAAAAGTTTGCCAACAGTATTCTGCATCGAGATGATTCTGTAGCCTCAGATTTTCGAGTGGTCTTTATTAGGCTTTGGTAGTGGAAACAAATAACTATGGAGCCATTCCTCTTGTATCTGGCCACTCTGGATGCTGATATTGAATTCCTTTGCCACGCTTTTCAAATCAGCATTCGACATCATCAGCATGTCGTTGTATCGGATGCCGTCAGGGCCTGGAGCAGTGCTGCGCGATTTCTTGAGGCAAATTCTTAAGGTATCTGCAGTGATTGTGAGATCAGTGCCTAACACAGTGTTCTCGCACAGCATCGACAGTTTCATCTTAACCCCTATTCTTGTAGCTTCGTCTTTTTGGTCAGTTTGCTCCAAGTTGTTGTTGTTGTTGTTGTTATCGATCCAGCGGCGCATGAGCTTTCGCCCTTTGGCCCAATGCCATGTAGTGGAATTTGCATGTTTTCACAAGCTGTTCTTTTCCTCCGTACAAGGTGTTCCACTTGTCTGGTCTCGGAGGGAGTAGCGTTCTTCTTGTCTCACTGAGTTTTGGGCACTCAAAGAGATGGTGTTCAACAGTTTCGTAGGGGTAGTTACATAGCTGGCACTCTGGGGAGTGTTGTGGCTGTATTCTGTTTAGGTGTCCATTGAGTGGAGTATGTTGCGTTCTAAGTCTGAAGATGGTGGCCTGGTCCTTTCTTGTTAGATGGTTAATGCTGTCATTAGGATCAGGGCCAGACATATGTCTATAAACCTCTCTTCCAGTGTCTCCCATGGCCCATCTGTTCAACCAAGTCTCTTTGTTTATAGCTCTTATCAGTGTTTTTGCTGTCTGGAGGGTTGTCGCTGTAGGTGGTTGTTCTTGTGTTGCTCCTTTCTTTGCCAATCTGTCAGCTCTGTCATTACCTGGTGTGCCGGAGTGACCTGGAATCCACTGCATCACTATTCTGATGTTGTATGAGGTAATAAGCTGATCGGCATCCAGGATTATCTTGGCTATGTCAGTTCTGCAGCGTTCATTGCCCTCCAGAGCTTGAAGGGCAGACATTGAATCTGTGAAGATGACAATATTTTGGACCTTTGAGGGGTAAACATCCATTACAGTCTTTAGGTGGTATACTGCTGTTTCCAGTGCAATTATTTCAGCTTCATAGTTTGAACAGAATTCCCCGCATGCATCAAAAATCTCTTCAACAGATCCATCGGGATAACCTATGTTTGCTCCAAGTAGCGCGCCAGAAGGGTTTTTCCTTTATCAGCATCAGTTCTCTGCCATATCAGGTCTGTACCCTGAAAATCAGGGATACCCCTAGGTCGTGCGGCGCCGTGCATGCTCCGTTGAAGGCGCCAGAATGTCACAAGAGATCCCTCGGAGCAAACGCTCTTGCAGAATTCGTTCCATTTCGCTGTCTTAGCTTCCTTAGCAATTACCTTGAAAGCCACTGTCTGCTTGTTGACCTCATCTTTCAGATTGATCAGGCGTTCAGAAAGTGACGGATCAATTTTCCTTGCCTTTTGCCATGCCTTGACAGCTTTCCTTTTTTCTAGCCACGCCATGTTGACTACTTCATTCCACCATGGTGGCTGGGCTTCCGGTGTAAACAGCCACAATGGCGGTACGCTTTTTCGTCCGTTGAGGCGAATAGCGCAAATTAGCTATTTTCGCTCACGTATAATGTGAAAGTTTCATTGGAACGGGGTCTGAACCGTGCAATGGAGTACATGCGCGTTAGTTTAGACTTCCCTCAGGGTGTATTCGACGTCCGATGGCGACTATTTACCAATCCTTGACAGTCTTGTTGTATGGCATGGAGGTGTGTCGGCACACGAACTGATACATGCTGCAGGAGATCGCAGATTGTGGAGAGGCATGATCGCCCACGCCAGTCGCCAAGCCACCTGATGATGATGATGAAATTGCAGTTTAAATTTGAGAAACAGTCGCAATCTCTGTGGAGACAAATTGTTACCTTATCACTGGTGTTATACAAGACTGATGTAGTAGCAGCGCCAAACTCGTAAACTAATCACTAACATACACACAGTCAATACTTCAAAGATGGCACGCTTCATGACAGTTACCAGTGTAACAAGCCTGGACACAATGAGATGCACTACCTTAATTATTGTGTTGAAACAGAACTTCGTACCAGATTTAATGAGAAGCGGAACATCAGATTGATTGATCATCTTTTCAATAATGTAACAGTCCAATCACCATTCATGCGCCACACTTCAGATAATCTACTACCCGGGCGAGAAGGCTTCCAAAGATGGGATGGACTGATGACACTACAGACAATGTACATATACACAGAAAGACAATATCTAGTTTCAGTCGTCGAGCTGTGGACTATTACATATTCTTACTCACGAGCAGCTATGATGCTGATGGTGACGATGATGATGATGTTGTTGATGCTGGTGATGATGGTGATGATGATGTTTATTATGATGCTGATAGTCATGATGATTATTAAGACTTATGAGCTGACACGGCCCTGTGACCACTAAAGTTCTTACCTGCCGTTTATCGATGTAAAAAGTGTTCACATAAAGATACTTGTCTGACCCAAGTCTAGAAGTCATCTTTCCATGTTTGGGTAAGCTTGCAAGAATGTGTCTTCCAATCTCTGCAACAGAACACGGCTGCTGACATTAGTTGCTTGGAAGACCAAAGTTTGATCAATACAATGTGTACGGTTATTAGCGCTAACGTTGGTCATGAATAGACACACGACGGTTCATTGAAAGTAAATTACAAATTAATATTGTAGTTAACAACTGGGGGACACAAATGTTGCCTTGTATACTTCAATGCTCACAGTCGTGAGGGAAAAACATAATAACTATCAAAGTGTATCCTCCCCCATCCCCCGCCCCCCCCCACACACACACACACACACGGTTGCCAGTAATAGCAGACATTGGCGATAACGAGTCTTCACTCCCCCTGCCATGTGTGACTGTTTTATGTCATGTTGTTAAAGCTTTAAAAAAAATACCTTAGTTAGTTAATCGACAGATCATCCTAACTGCACATCGCATAGTCTATAAGCGTTGGGATCCCAACTTTCTCAGCGTGTGGCGACTGATAACACCAGTACTATGTTGGTTTACTGTTTTTCTTTGGCTACCTGTATAGTGTTCATTTTTGGCACCACCTCTTTTGACCTGAAGTTCTTATAGTCAATAAATACCTGTATCTGCCTTCCTTCTATCGATTACCTGGTGTCGTGGAATGATAAGCCATTACACATCAGTCCGTAAGACTGGTAACTTGACCTACCTGTAATCGGCACAAAATTCAAACTTGGACTCGTCCAGGAAGAGATATATAGTCCCTTATATCGATATAGGCCTTTATCGGACAAAATTATTATGTCTACAATTTCTAGTTGCTTTGACTTAACTCCACTTTTAAATGTACAACGATTGGATAAATATTAGAGGAGTTATTTGAGGTTTCTTAGAAACCGATTTACTCCTTGCCCATGTATACTAGGAACTCCTTTTTACCAACGCCCGCAGTGCGTAATTTGCGCCATTCTCTTTGCCGGCTCCCAAGCGTTCAGATGTGTGCATTGACGCCAGAAAATTTCACTTTCAATAGGCGATCTGTAATGTCGGGGACCTTTCCTATGCTTGGGTAAGTTAATTATAGTTTACGAGTACCTAGAATGATGTCTGTTAACGTGGTCACTGCTGCAGAGAGATCAGTATCGGCTGTGGGATCACACCTAGTTCGACCGTTCTTGATCGCTAGAGAAGCGGATTCGAACTAAGATCTTCCTCTGTACAGACTAAATAGCCTAGGTCCTAAATAACCCACCCATACTGGTAAAACTGATAACCTTACAAGTGTGTACTATTTAAACTAACAACAGAAGTTTGTGCATACAAATGGGGACAGAATTGGGTCAGGACTTGGTCGGCCAGTGTGTGAGTGTGTTTGACCCAGATCAATGAATGGTAGGACTGGCTTGGGAGTTGTAAGGAATAAAGGTACTGACAGTAGAATTTGGTGTCTGTGTGCAGAGGGGAGGGGGGAGAGAGATTGATATGTGTGTTAGAGTGTCGATCTATCTCCACTATATATCTGACTTTCCATCTCTTGCACTAAACAGACAGATGAATGATAGGAGACTAGTGTCTCCTGGTCTTGAGAGGCATTCTGAGGAATGAAACAGGGGAGCAAAGGTGGAGTAAGCAGATGTGGGATGATGACTGATGCTTGTTCTGTCTTTCCTGTCAAGATGTTACCCTCTTGGTGATGACTAATTCTGAGTTATTTCTTGGCAGGATGAATCTTTTGTGAGGAGCTGGCAGAAGATTCACAGTCCAACCAACACCCACCAACCATAACCCACCAACCATAACCCCTCCATTAATTAACCCATTACCTACCACTTATCACCCAACTACCAAGTGTGGAGATTGATGTCAGTTTGAGGTGCCATATACCCCAAACTTCCTACAGTGCCAGAACATGTGTATAGCTCATGGACAGTGATGCTAATGTCTAGTGGGAGCGATTTGCTGTGTGCTGTGTCCTTTATGGTGAGGTACTCCTCTACCAGTTGATCCAGTTGAGGCAGAGTCACCAATGACAGTCGAATCATCAGGAGCTGAGGGAAGCATCATAGACGGAAAAAGGATAAGTCCAGTTTGATGCCTTATGTGCTATATTCCTCACAGCTCCCATGTTTCCCAATGATGACAAGGTGTTATCTCAAGGACCTTCTGGCTGTTAGGGTATCTTTATACTCTGGACATTATATTCTGGGATTCTTCCACTGAAAGCTGGCATTTACTTCACTATTATATGTATATGTTATATTGATTACATGCATTCATTTTCATGGCTGACTTAGGTGTCTCTATTTCATTTTTTAAGTGTTTAGCAGTTGTGTGTGTATGAATCTTCACTATATGTGTTAACATGGTTATGATAATGAACTATCATAACCTGCGGGCTTTCTTCAATAAGTAGTGGGGGTGTCCAGCCAAGTGTGCCTAGGAATATTGTATTCATATACAGATATATTTTGTAGTGCCAATACTTGATTTGCCCTACTCCAGAAATAAGTTGAGCGTATATTGGCCACGGGGAATCCCTTAGACCAATAAGAGCCAAACGACTCAACATAATTATTTCTGTGTGCTGTTGGTTCTGAAGGAGAAATCCTTACATCAGGCACGTGACAGGAGTGATATGTGACACCTGGCATTTTCTCAGACTTGTATTATATACGGACATCAAGCTGGTTGTAAATCTACGTGCCTCCAGTGCTTCATTCTTCACATTTAATGTGCTCTGCGTTGTAATTCAGCGTGGTCACACTATAGCAGTTAGTTTTATATTCTCTAGTTCTTTATGAAATTATACGCCTTGCCTCTAATTTACGTTGGTACTGTCGTGGAACAGGTTCCTTATACACTCAATAAAGTGGTGTTATCTTGTTAGAAACCGAGACAACTGTCTTTTGGTGCAAAGAGCAGACAGTGTCCCTGGATACTCAGATACAGACTCGAATTGGCTCGCGAAAGAAGGTGAGCTGCCTGAATATCCCCAGAAAAGGGATAAGGGAATTTAGATGCCTAAACACTTAGACAGAGCAGATTACCCCTCCCGACAATTTCCCTTTCTGGTAGTAAAATTAAGCCCCCATCTAGACTATGTATATTGGTAGACAGCACTGACACCATACATACATCTAGAAATAGAAATAAACTTTAACTATGAGTTTAAATCAATCATAGGAATGTTTATTAAAATTAAAGTAAAATTCAATCATCTATTTACTTTTGAAAATACATTATTCAAACTAAGTAGGATGAAAGATAAAAATGATAGTAACATGAAACTGTCGTCATGAGAGGATCAGTGGGAAATAACATACAACAATTACCACCTGGAGTTTCCCAGAGGATCATCCATTTCAAAGACTGAGGTGGAATGTCGGATCTGTCCCAAGCACCAAGATCTTCCTTAGGGCACTCCAATCATTAGCTACAACCAGCCTGGCAGTGGTTTGGAAGCTCGTCCTGCCACAAGGAATCTGTCCTCGGCTTTTTCAGCAGCTAGGGATGGAAACAATCAAAAAATATATAGTCCCTGCTGTTTTGCAAAATAAAATATATTCCCAACTTTCCCCTCTCTTCATATTGTCAGAAGTGGGATAATAGTCTAGTAGCATTGTCATTTACATAGCTTCCACTTCTGACTACTGTCCAGTCCCGATGAATGTCTTCCATCTTCTGTCCTTCAGGATGATAGTGTAATGCTCCTCATTTTTTCACAGACTCAGACAGCAATATGCAGTTATAAATGCAACACAAAATCAGACAGAATGTTATAGAATTCTCTCTATAAATATTGAGAATTCTAGATAAAAGATCTTGCCTTTCCTTCTTCCAGATATTCCACTGTGCGGTTATTTTCTGGTTTGAATCCTTCTTTTGTGAGGCTAAGAAAAACAGTTTCCCAGTGGGTAGTTTTCTCGGACAGCATGTCCTCAAAATCACAGCATTTAATACTGCTGTGTATAAGTAAAATAATACATTAATAACATCATGAAAAATACATCAATACCCTGAAAACAAAATTCAGCACTTCTACAACAAGCAAACATTATGAATTATAGAAGTATGAGCATGAACAGTGAAGAACAATGTCTCCTATGAAATGTTACCATTGAGATGTTACCATTATCTACACAAACTCTGCTAACCAGCCATAGATCATTCATCTACCAGCAATAGAAGATAGATAATTTCCTAAGAGTCTTAGATACAGCAAACAGAAGTAACCTCCTAGATACCGAACAATAGGAATCAGGAATAGATCATAAAGAAATGGTTTCCTGTCCATGTGCAGAAATGGGTCAGCGTGGTTTTTCCTCTGTCTGGTACAATTCTAATATTGTACACGAAATGCGGCCCGAAAACTGAAATCACGATTTAATTAACAGTTACTGTGCTCACCTGGATTTAGATGTAACTATATGGTCATGTTGCTAGGGTTTTTAGGCGGCGAGAAAGACAAAGTTCTGCCAAAACGGCCCGCTCTAACACCTGCTTGCTGACCTGAAGTAAAATGGCTGGCAATCTTGTCTCACTGCGGGATTTCCGGTGTTGGCCAGGGTTTTCCCCGCTACGTTGCCGAGTTACTAGCCGTATATTTTTATACGTGAAAGCTCAGGGGAATTACAAGTAGGACAATGGAAAATCCCCAAACAGCAACCGTAGGCTATAACCGGGATATCTCTCAATGCGTCTTATGACGAAAATGAAGTCACTGGGCGCATGTAAGAGAGAAAAATAGAAGGGTCACAAAGGGGTGGTACGTCAGCCAAAAGTATCTTGTCTACTTGAAGCGGCGTCTCGCGACAGAAGCCCCCCTTTCGAAGCTTTCTGTAAGAATGCTAAGATCGCTGTCAAGTAGAACAAGAATACCAGACTACCACTTCCTGGCTCCCAAGACTTCCACTGGTCTGAATTTTCAGTAGTCTTTATGACAATGTCTTGTCCAGTAGATGTGCTTAAAATGCATGCACCAGTGGTGTACTGACCGTTTGTCCGGAGGTATTGCATCCCCTAGAATCAATGATTTCGTGGGTCTGGATGCTGA